GTGGGGGGGGGGGGGGCTGTGAGGGAGGTAGGGCAGTGAGGGTTTTCCAGCAGTCCATTAGCAGCTTACAGAAACAGAGCAGCTGTGTCTTTTGTTAAACATAACCACAGCCTTGTTTTTTTACTCTGCTCTGTGGGTGGGTAAGGCAGGCCTATGGGATGCATCTTAGCCTAACATAACCATTGTTATTATCTGTTTTAGTCCACCACAATATCTCACCTAATTTAACAAAAAGAAAAAAAACTTTAAAATTCCAAATTATTTTTAAAATTTTAAAACTATGATGAAGCATGATCGCCTTCATTCTGAATATGACTCCGTCACTATTTCCCTTTCCCTGTAACCTGACCTGTAAAATTCCTCACTGAAGGCCTATCACCAGTAGATGAACGCTGCCATCCATCTCTGTCCTGCTAACCAGATATTTATTACCACCTGATGCAGTCGATTTTAATTATCCGGCCAGTTATAATTGTCCTTCCTAATAACTCACTCACTTTTTTGGCTTTTGTAAACCACTTTCATATAATTCAAGGCCTGTACTTTCTTCTTTGTGGTTTTTGCCTTTATAAACCTTCTTCCCCCTTCTTTTGGGCTGGGGATTACAGAAAGACTTGAATCCTCCCACAGCTGCTAGCTTTATAAAAAGGCTCCTTTAATCTGGCTAAAACTGGATATCCTCCTATTCTCATGCTGATTTGAATACAACAATGACAACAAACAGTAACTAAGGTTTAATTATAAAAATGTATTCCCCTTATATTTACCTAATTTGCTTTTACTTAACCATTATATTTGAGTTGCTCACAGAAAACAAAGCTAGTCGTTCTAGCCGTTTAAGCTGTTACTATTTTCCTTTGAAAGCAAAACCAAGTTAGCCCTACGTCAGCTGATCTCATTTTAACTAAGAACTCTAAAGTTACTAAACACACATTTTCCCAAAGTTTCCCCAAGTGTCCCCAGCCTTGAATGCTCCCTTGGTGGCACAGAGAATGGCCCTGAGAGAGCCTATATCAGTCATTGATTCACACTCTGACACTTCGGAAGACATTTTTATTTTCATCTTAAGAATGTGAAGCTAGCTTTATTTATCAACGATTTCACCAAAGTCACATGAACTGTTGGGTCCAGAAATCAGTTGTACCCTCGGTGACGCAGAGAGGACAGCAACAATGCAAGTGCAAGAGAGGCTTTATTGTCCAGCCAGCTGGGGTCCAAGTGAATACCTGATGCAGCAGGTACCAACAAGGACCCCGAGCCTGGGTAAGAGGTGCTTTCATAAGCAGGGAAAGGGACGAGGAAGTACTGTCAGTAATTTTCCATGGCCTGACAGGAGGGTCCAAGGGTGAGAGCAAGAGCAGGCTCTGCAGTCCTGCTACAAGGGTCGCTTTCACCCACATCCTGTTTGTTGCTCAGTTCTTTTGAAGCTCCCTGTACTTGTAAAACTCTATAGTTACAGGAATTTGGGGCAGGGTGTTCACAAGATGTCAGCGGTTGTGGGGGGCTCAAAGCTGTAGGAGCCCGAGGCCGGCTGCGTTTCTAGCCTATGCTTTGCATCCCAGCATTCCAACAGAACTCAAAAGCATTGAGCTTATTTTATTTACTCTATTAGGTTGTCAGGAAAATCATGGCATATTTTTCTGTTGTTCTATTCCAAAAAAAAAAAAATGTGTCATGACTTTCCAGACAACCCAGTAAATGCCTGCATTTAAATCAGTTTGGTTCTACATCTACAGACATAAACACACATAGAAACACAACATACCATGCATGTGTATACACACAAATGTAATACAGACACAAATCAATCAATTCGTAGTTGTTATTTTAGAATATTAGCCATGAGACAATAAAACTTACCAGTTTAAACGGACAGTTTGACTCAAACTGCATCTCTGTATCTGGAATCTGTCCCATCTAGCTAAAGTCTTCTACCCGGTCCCAGAAAACAGGGTAAGAAATTTGAAACACGCAGATGAAAAACGCTGACCAAAAACATGCCCAAAAAACTCATAGAAATGTACTATAAGATTTTACCAACAATATGCAGATGGTCAGGAGCAAGTTCAGAAATCCACTCAAAATAATTAGACAGGCAGCTTTGCTCTGAGACTCCCTTGAGTTAGCCAGTTACTTTCCTCTGTACCAAATTGCCATTTACTGTCTGTTCATCTGGTCGAGTCAGGTACCTGATGCTTTTTCTTACCTAAGCACTTAAAAAAGGAAAACAAGTCTAGAAAGCTGGAATTGTAGCTACACTGATGTCAGTTAACATATAACCAGAGGTTGTATCCTCTGACTGCTGTCTAAAATCTGGCAGCCGCTTCTGTGAATAACTAAGAGGCAAAGCAAAGAGGGAGAAAGGCGTTTATTTAGCTGTGTTCAAGCACAGGGAGGGGCTAAGAGTTAACAGGCTCACAACCAACTCCCAGGACAGAAATTTCCAGCACATTATATAGGTTACATTTCTCGCTTACCCATTGTGATCTGTAGCATAAACTTAGCTAGTTCATTGTTACAAAAGAGAGCCGAGCTCTGAACCTAAGAGAAAATACATGAAACAACAAATTTGTGTCAAGTAAATTACCTCGAACTCTAGCTACATTTCTTTTCTTTTACCTGGTAAATATTGTATTTAAGACTAAACCAAGAAAACGAAGTATTCATTTCTCAGAGGCCCAGTAGTATTCCCAGCTTTTTTCAGGCTGGCTACCTGACCTGACCCAGAAATCACACCTGCTATCCCAGGGACCAAAAGAGAGTTCCTGCTTGGTCACAGACCAAGCTCTCAAAGACATAAAATAAGACAAGAGAAGAAAGAGAAGAACCCTGTTTTTGCTGTAGGTAGGCAATGGTCCGATGAGAACTGCAAAGCTCACCAGCTTGCAGAGTTAGCTGAAACAGTGGGCTTAGTTCTAGGCCTGGTTCTACTGTATAGACCTTTCCCTTATCACAAATAACAATAGCACAGAGACAACGAAAACAGATCATTTCTGGAAGGGAGGGTCAGACAATGATTACTCATACCAGGAAAACAGTTGCTATATCCAGTGCTACTCCACATGATTCTCATTCTCCTATTAATCTTAATTTGGAAGGGAAAAGAAAAAAATAGTGATTTTTATTAGTTTAATTTTCAAATTAAATGCCATGAGAATTTGAAATGTTGTAGGAGCGCATGTTTTCTTTCCCAACTGGCAGTAGATTTTCTTGATTCTTTTGGAGTATGGAAAATAAGATCCTTCTCCCACTTCAGGAATGGCCAGGAAGGGAAGGATAAAATAGAGAGAGGTGGGCCAGTGGGTGACAGAAAGATTTAGGCACTGGATCCCACATGGCCAACTCTGTGGTTCACGTTCCACTGGACTTATGTGTGTACTTGCCTGAGATTCCGGAAGAGAATAGAGAAGAGACTGCAGCATGGTCATCCCCCCAACGGGTGATTCTCACTTTCCCTCTCTGTCTGTCTCTCTGTGGCAAGCACATAATACACCTTAGAGAAAAGAAAAAAAAAAAAGAAAAGAAAAACCTAAACTGAAAATAAATAAATACATGAAATTGCTCTCCATAATGACGTTAGAAGAGCCTAAAGATTATGAAAGCAAGGTCTCAAAGAAGTCTTGGGATAGGAATCAAAGGAAAGTCAGGGGAGCCTCTTCCTCAGGTTTTAATTTTTTGGGTTCTCTACCCAGTTAGTAAATACTAAATACTGAGGGGTACAACACTGTAGAACTAAGATGAAATTCTTAGAGTTCATTTGTTAGATGAAAATTGCACTAGGCAATCCCTAAACAAACAAAACCATCTATGCCTTCAAAAAGAACCTTAACCTTGATTAAACTTCCAGTGTCAGTGAAACTTAACCTGGGTCCCTTAGGGGAAATGGTAACATTAAAAAGAAACCAGGTCTAACATCAGCCAATCATAAACAGCCAACAACACCATTATATAACTAGGGGATTTCCAGAAGGGGCAATTTACAATTATGTCACTGCAGCCAATCAAATGTCTTTCTTTTGCTTTCACATTTATTCTGTAAATGCTTGCTTCTGATTATTTAGTCATCAGAACATTAGACCTCTTTCGACTTGGTGTTTCCCAATTAATGAATGGCTTCGTAGTCAAACTTTTTAAAATTTTGTTTCTCAATTTACCTTTTATAGGAGCATAGAAGTTTGGGCAGGAAGTCAGCACGCACCTGACACATTCAACCTTGGCTTCAGGATGAGCTTGGTAAGTACCTGCTGAATTATTAGGGAAATTTACAGTGGGGTGACTCCCTGCTAAGACTGTCTGGTTTGCTGGTCTTTAGAAGGGAGTAATAGTGTTGACTTTGAAAACTTATATAAAAGTTCCATCATTATTCAAAAGTCTGTTTCCCATGTGAGACTTTGAGTTCATTGCAAAGTGAATTTGCAGAGTGAATGTCTCCTTTCTTTGTCCACAGAGCATGGCTGCAGATGTAGCTAGTTGGTTGAGGGAGAGACACTGTAAATGACGCATGATGGGAGCTGTGTCCTTGTTCTAGCAACTGTTGTCTATGATGAGTTAGCTGTGTCCTGTTAAATTTGGTCCCTCCATCAGCACAACTCGGCCCATTCTCTCCCACCTGCTTAAGTTTTCCTTCTCTTTTCACCTCTCGTATCTCTTCTATATCTTCAGTCCCATCTCAGTTGCTCACAACTGCACCAGAAATATTGAGCAGCATATCAACGTGGTTTTGTTTCTCTCATTTTAAAAAATTAATACACAAACCTTCTCTTGGTCCTGCTTCCCCTGCCAGCTCCACCCTATTTCCTTGGTCCTCTTCACGGAAAAATCTTTTTAAAAAATTGTTCACACTATCTATTCCTCTCCTCTCACATTCTCTCTTGAACCCACTCTAATTGGACTTGGAATATCACTTCTCCACAAACTTTCTCTACTCCAAGATCCCAATCATCCCTCCACTCTGATGAACTGTGCTTGGCTTCCAGGGACCGTCCTTGCTAGTTGATCCCTTGCTATCTCCTTTGCCAATTCTTCTCTCTCCCAGTCACCTAGGTTCCATGGTTGGTCTTCTCCTATTTCCTCTCTACATTCACTGCCTTGGCAATTTCATCCAGCCTGGTACCTTGGAACAGCTCTGTGACAATGACTCCCAATCCACAGCTGTAGGCAAAGCCTCTCCTCTGCACACCAAACTGGTATACCCTAGAGTCTACTCAATAGCCTGGGGCTATGCAGACTGTCTGATCTCTCAGTCCAATGCTCCTGTCTGATTTGTTTTGCTTCCAGATCCATGGGATTGTTTGTGGTGTGCTGCTCATCGCCATTTGCATTTCCACCCTTTCTTGCCACATACAAGTAAACTGTTCTAGACAAAAAGTAAGTCTTGGAACCTCTTCTCATTCCATAGAAAGTTGTCCTAAAGAAGGTGGAGACTAGAGGAGTGTTCGTATTTTTAGTTCCCTGCCCAGAAGCTGGGTGAGTACCTGGGATCTAAAAGCCATAGGGCATGGCCTCCTGTGTCTTTTTTCCAGGCGAACATGTTTTTCCAAACTGCAGATACAACAAATCAAGCATCATTCCAGAACGAGGAAATTAGATGCAGAGTTAATACAAAAAGCTGCAAGTCTTCAGACAAAAAAAAAAAGCTGAAGATTCTAAAATCCTTTTTTACTAATAAAAGAAGTCTTCCTCCACCTGAGCAGCCATAACCCGGGTTCTTCCTGTCCTCACAAACTAAGAGAAATCTCTCTTCAATTGCTTGCACCCTAGATTTCATTCTTCAATTTAGTCTGTTGTGCTGTTTCTCTATTAAAAAGAAGATAAGAATTTAAAATCAATTGTAGGGGGTGGGTAAGAGGGGATCAGGGAAAAACAAACAACACATTTAATATGCAAAAATGCAATGTTATCTGCTGATGCTAATGTAAACAGTACTGTCTTTGATTTGACTAATATGCACTATACTCATGCTGGGAAAAACCATGTTGTACACTGTAAAATGTACAGTGATTAAATGTAAAAAATAAATAAATAAAAATTAAAAATAAACTGCAGTTACAATTGATAAAAGTAATCTATGATTGATTTAGCAATTTTATTATGCATGTCTTCATTTTTACCAAATAAGCATGAAAAATGTTATAAACAAATAATATAACGTAGATCTTTGCATAAATGTCTTCTGTATGATACTGCAAAGCAAATGTAAGAGAAAAACATTTCTTTTTTCTTTTATTTTTTTTTGGAGAGGTTTTTTTTTTTTTTTTTTTTGCTATAGGTGTGTGCACTCCCCAGAAAGACTGAGAAAGACAGAGAGACAGAAAACTAGAAATCATCCTCCAGGGAGGATGGTCACACTGCAATCCCTTCTCCTCCATTCTCCTCTTGGAATCTTGGGCATGCACACACATGCACCCGGTGTGAGTTTAAGCCACCAGGTCCAGGATTCGAATCACAGTCAACTACATGGGAGTCTAGGGACGTAGCCATTATGCCAACTGCTGGTCCCAACATTTCTTAAATTGTAATCCATAATAAAGATCCAATAAAAAATTAAAAGAAAAAAAACACTAAAAATATAAATAAGGGACCAGCAGATGGCATAGTGATTATGTTGTTGGACTCCCACATGGCCCACTGCAGTTTGAGTTCCAGACTTTTACCTCACACCGGGTGCATGTGTGTGCATGCTCAAGATCCTGGGAAGAGAATGTAGAAGGGGTTGCAATGTGGCTATCACCCCTGGGGGGTGATTTCTGATTTCCCTCTCACCTTCTCTCTCTCTCAGGGAAAGTGCATGCACCCTAAGGCAGAAACCTCTAAAAATAATAAATAAATTATTAAATCGATGGTAACATTAAGATCATTCCAAAAGGTTTATGCATCTGTGTATATGGGACATCTGTGTGTGGGCATTTGTGCATAAATATTCAGATGTTTCTGTGTGAATGTGTGAGCATGTGTGTTGGTGAAACAAACACTATTTCAATCATTCATTCGTTTAATGAAAAGGTGCTAAGCATTTGGTATGTGCAAGGCTCTATTCATGGCACGGGGAAAGTGAATGTTGATGAATATGACTTAGTCCTTGACCGCAGGGAACTTTTGGCCTCTCAAAATAGTGTTGCAGGAAACAGATCACCAAGAAACCAAGCACCACTCAGAGAGTAGGAGAACTCAGGTTTATAAAGCTGGAGGTCCCAGCAGAGTTTGTACTCTAAAGTCTGGGCCCCTGCTTAAGGAAATTACAGGGTTATAAAGTCTGGGTCAAGGGTGTTGCAATCAAGAAGAGTTGCAAAACATTTGCAAAATAGTTGCAACACAGTCTGTAACACTTCCCTGCAGGCAATTTACAAAGGTGGAATAGAAGCACTTCCTGTTTTCAAGCAGTTAACAAACCAGATTCATATCATTCCCCTGTCTGATGCCCTTAGTTTTCCTTAGGACATCACAGCATAGTCTCACAGTCCTTTGATTTCCAATCCACCAAGGTGGTAGTGGCCAAGTCTACAGAAGGGATTGTTACAATGTACCTGGAAAGGCTCAGAGCAGTTCATGTGTTGTCTCAGACAGGAGTATCCTTGATTTTTCTGCCTTAAGTAAATTGGTCAGCATCCAGAGTGACTAGAGCAGGGCTGTAGATTCCTCAGGCTTCGGAAGCATCATCTGGAAGGACTTTGCATGTGTCTGTGGAGGAAGTCCTCTTGAATCTAGTGTGATGGATTCACAGGGTGACAGATACTAGTAACCTCAATATGACTTGGCCTTAATAAAGCCCACTCATAAGACAAGTGCCTATAGCCTGACTCCAGGGGACTGGTCCGGCTTCCAATGGGCATTGTTCCTGATGCAGGTATCATATCTGCTACTGACATGGTTGCACAGAGTTGTAGAAAACAGTTTCCAATTGTTAATGCATGGTATTGAAGCACCAGCTTATGAGCCAGAATACATGGGACACATGGTTGCCCATCTGGTAGCTGCCACCAACCCTCTCTAGTCTTTGTTTCTCTCTTTCCGTTACCTGTTGGGTTTCTTCTTTGATATGGGGAGCTCTGGCAACAGTAGGCACAGCAGCTGAAGGATTTCTCCTTTATTCAAAGGCATATTTAGATCAGTGGCATAGTTTAGGGCCCAAGTGACCAGCCTCTGTGGTCACTGCATACCCAGCTTTCCATTGTCCGTCCTGTACAAAACTGCTGCCATCTGTGAACAGTGTCAAATCCAGTCCAGGAAGGGCTTGTCTGACAGGTCTAGTCTACTGCAACAGACCTCATTGATGACCTCTTTGCAGTTATGATCAGGTGACCTAGGCTCAGCAAGCAAGAGGATGGCTGGGTTTAGTGTGCTCACCATCTCTAGTCATATGCATGGGTTCTCACATAGTAACCCCAGGTTCCAAGCCATCCTGTCCCCATCAACCACCTGTAGCTCCTACTGTTCATCAGAGTCACAGTGGCCTGGAGAACTTTCTTCCCACTCGAAGGCAAAAAGGGGCTGACTCTTGGAAGTCAGTTGAAATAGACCAAGGCATCTTTGAGGTCCAAGCATATGGACCAACTGACTGGGTGGCAGGAGCCTCAGGAGTGTGTAGGGGTTTGACACTACGGAGTGGAACAGCATTGTTTACAGTGCAGAGATCTTGCTCTGGCCGGTAATCTCTGGGCTTCCTAACTAGCAGTAGTCGAGTGTTCCAGGGAGACGGACATTCCACCAGAATTCCAACTTCTTTGAGGTATTCAGTGCGTCCTCGGATGCCCAATCACGCATCTCATGGTACCGAGTATTTCCTCTGCCTCACTGGGTGATACTGTTGTGGCACGAGATATTATGAAAACTGAGATCACAGAGAAATTAAAGTTTTAGGAGCCTTTATTCCTGGCCAGAGACTGCCATCCTGGCCAGGGACTGCCCTGCCACTGGAAGGTACTGTTTGGGATGACAGCCACAATCCACAGCTTTGCAGAGCATTTAAGCACAAAACCCACAAGGGAACATTACACTTTGCAAGGGTTGGGGCGAGGGGTGTTGTAAGGGAGGAAGGGCTGCAAGGGTGGTTATATTCCTTCACCAGCAGTCTGTGAGCAGTTTACAGAAGCAGAGCAGCGTGTCTTTTGTTAAATGTGACCACATCCTTGTTTTTTACTCTGCTGGATGGGGTGGGTGAGGCAGGCCTATGGAATGCATTTTAGCCTAACATACACCATTTTTCTTATCTGTTTTAGTCCATCACAGCACCAGGTTTCAGGTCAACGACAATCGGGGGCACCGTTCCTTGTGATCCTCCGCCCTCTTGCTGTCTCTCTCTAGTGAGCACACACGCTCAATTCAAAACCCTAAAAACAAATAAAGGCTGAGTAATATATTGCTAACATTCACCCACATCAGTAGGTTAAGAATGATTCTGGGGGCCGGCAAGTGGCATGGTGGTTAAAGGCGCTGGACTCCCACATGACCGACCACGGTTCAAGTCTCGGACCTGGTGGCTTGCTTTCTCACTTCCTCTCTCTCTCTCTCTCTCTGTCTCTCTCTGATCAAACTGAAAAATAACAATGATAATAATAATAAATAAAGTGAAATAATTCTTTAAAAAAATAAAAGAATGATTCTGAGTTTGTATTCTTACTCAGTAGGTTGTCATGAACAAAAAGTAACTTTTCATGAGCTTTGGTTGAAGTAAACCTTAGCTAAAGGTCTGGCAGCTGGGTCCTGGCTTCTATTCTGCATGAACAGGGCTGGGGCAGGTGGTCGAGCCCCCAAGTGCATACCGTAGCACAATGTTCTCTTCCTTTCTTTCTAACTGCTTTCACTTTGACACATGCAAGTGTGTTCTGAACCAGCTTTTTGATTATTCAGGTGGTGTTTTGGGAGAACAGAAAGTGGCCATTACATTTTAAATTATTCAAAGACAAACTAGGTATCAGTGTTGAAGATGAAGATCCTAATCGTTGCTTCTGACTATCTGGGTCCCAGAACCAGCAACAACACATGGTTCAGTTTCTGACCTGATTCAGTAGAATTTTAATGACCAGTTACAGTCATGAGGCTGTTTCTCCATGTTGCCTACCTTGGCTCCAGGCTCACTGCAAGTCATGATAAGTTTTCAAAATCTTGATCATTAACAGACTTTTCAGCCTTTTTCATTTCAGACTTATCGATATGGTTGTGAGAGGCACCCCTGCATTCTTGCATCAGTTGTCCACACTACATAGATTATGATCTGCTCCACTACAGGTAAGGACAGCGATGAGGCATACACTGCAAGGCAACCTTTGCCAATGAACACTAAATTTGTTGCAAATGCATGTCCAGAATTGGCAGAAAGGCCTGGTGGCCTGGGAGCTGATGTCTACCACAAACATCAATGGTTGGCCCCCAACCTTCATTTCAACCATGTGCTCCTGGGACCTAGGAGTAAGGAAGCCAGTCTGTTCTAGTCTGTGTCTAACTCAGCCAGAAGGGTGGAGCCCAGTTTTCAGGTTTTACAAACTACCTGTCCTATCGATTATACAAAAATTGTAGTTGGAGAACACATTTTTTTTTTTGAGAGATTTTCACTGTAGGGCGCGTGCGCTCGCCAGACAGACAGAGAGAGACATAGAGACAGAAAGCGAGAAATCACCCCCCAGGGGGGATGGTCACGCCGCAATCCCTTCTCCATTCTCCTCTCAGGATCTTGGGCATGCATGCATACATGCCCGGCGTGAGTTTTTTTAAGCCACCAGGTCCGGGACATGAGCCGCGGTCGACTACGTGGGAGTCCAGCGACATAGCCATTACGCTAACTGCTGGTTCCCGAGAACACAATTTTTAATTTAAACTGTCGACAGAAAAATATAGGAAAAATAGGAAAAGTAGTCAGACTTCTGTCCACAAAACCTTCACCTCTATAGAACAGAGGAAGTGCAAGAAGGCAGGAAGGGAGAAGGCAGCCAGGAGCACCTGATGTGGGCAGCTGTGCTGAGGCCTGGACCAGGCCTCTCT